TACATACAAACATTACCTCTTTATAATATTAGTATAGATTCTATACTAATATTATAAAGAGGTAATGTTTGTAAGTATGTTAGTTTGTATGCAGCAGGTAATCTCCGAAACTACTCATCTGATTTCAAAAATTCTTTCATCAATATTTAGAATGGAACTTCAGGGTGGACATAGGATGTATATTATTCCGTTAAACATTCATATAAATTAAAAGATATAATCTAGGTTAAGGCTTTTATGTCCAACAGATGGCACTACGAGTATGACACCCTAAGTTTGCTTTTCTGTGAGGCATTATGCTTTTCTGTGAAAATGAACTAAAGCAGATCATCTTCTATCTATTTATATAAATAAAAATGTAATGTTCGTTTGTTTCTACCACTGAACATTCCACTGAAGGGAGATGGTTAGGATTAAGGCTTACAGTAAAGAACTCTGCTTCTATTTGTACTATGTTAGATGCGGGTTTTTGCATTTTTGATTGCATTTTAATAGGGTACGTCAACAGAATGTACACTAACAAATTTTTCAAAAAATTTCCCCCCATGGGGGAAGTGTTATAAATTTATAATAGATACATTTTGAGCCACAACAACGCGTGGCAGGGTCTGCTAGTATAAAATAAATTATGAAAAATGTTAGACATTGTATATTATATTTTCATTTGTGCTTTTTTTTCCAATGCTAATGATTATTTTACTATTTTATAGTTTCTAATATTTATACTTATTGTAGCTAAATTTTATACATAAAAATATTAGAAACCAATGTTTATTGACAAGACTGTCTTGTTTATAAAATCATACTGCCATTTTATGTTACCAGCATAGAGGTATGAAGGAGTACATGTTGAGAGTTGATATTTGGCACAGAGTATTAAGTGTCCAAATCATTTGCGCATAAAAAAAATCCAGACTTATAGGTAGTCAGGGGACCGAGAACCGAGTCAAAATAAAATGCAAAATGGCGACCCTCTTCTACAAACAGGCAAAACAGGCACCTCACCCCAACAAAGTCAGGTGGGGGAGAGTACCACACACAGTCATTCTAAGAAGTGAACTGTGACCTTAGGACTGAACACGTAGTTTCTTCTATGTTAAATAAAATTTTTTTGATTCACTAACAGAAGGTGTGTTTCTATTTCAACACTTGGTGGTTAAATAAAATTTGTAATCTAATTTTGTAAATTTGAGTGTGCTTCAAATATGACGTTAAAACGGTTTTATGTTGTTACAAGTGAGTTTTTTTAACATTATCTAGTATAGTAAAATCGTGGGACTGATAAAAATTTGACGTTATATTAGGGTTGTCGTTACATCCGATGACTTTATAATCGGGTTAAACTGTATATTGTTTGTGCAAAATAAAAAAAATAATTTAGGACAATACAATAGCCACGATTATTTTTTTCAAAAACGGGAACTTTTCGTTACACATCGACAAAAATTCAACCCGGGCCAACACGCAACGGAGAGAAATTTAGAAATTGGATAGGTTAATTTCATCAAAAATGCATTGTGGCCAACGAAGTTTGAACGATTGCACCCAAAAGCAGCGATACCAAAGAAGATTGGAGAATGAGAACAAGGCCCACCTTGAGTGTCAAAGTGATTCCACTTAGTAGTGAGTCTCTGAGACAGTCTTGTCCCAAATATGGTTTTGCCGTTTTACTTGTTTTATTTATATTTTGTGTTCAATATATTTTTCTGGAAGTTTTTTCAAAGTAAAAATTTTTTTCATTAACGTATGTATATTAAACTAAATAATTTATGTAAATAAATTTAATTATAGTTTGAATATGATGCAGTTTAATATTTACAGCTATTATATTATTGAAATGATTTTCAGGTATGAAAGAACCAGAGCTGATTATATAACAAAATTACCTCCTAATATGCATAGTACCAAAGGTGAATAAATTATATATAGTATTAAAAGCAAAGTATTGTATATGATTAGCAAAGTATTATATGATATATATGTTATAAAAGTAATTTTTTTTTCTGTTTCTCAGGTTGTGGTGCTACTATTCCTGATCCAAAACAGGTAATTAAAAATGATGATGGTTTAGTCATTCCTGCAGGAAAGCCAGTCAATTCAAAAATTTCAAATGGTGACTTGTTATATAATGAGTATCCTTTTAGTCAAACTAAATTCTTTATTCTGTTTTCTTTCAGAAATGTATAATTTAATTTTTCAAATCAGGCAAGAAAAAATCTTTTGCCATTTCTCATCTGAGAAAACAAAATTAAAGTAAAAAGTTAGATAAAATAGTTTTTGATTTTCTAATTTATTAATCAGTGATAATGAAATGAGAAATTGATAAAGAACTCTAAAATATAATTTGGATTAAATAAATTATCATCTCAAATCTCATTTATTGTGTAATGAGGTCAGCACATTATAATTTGATGCAAAATATACATATCCTGTTCAGTATAGGGAATTTGAAAAATAAACAATAATAAACATGAAAGAATAACCATTATCACTTTTAATAAAAAGGGCTTTAATAAAAGCATCAAATATAAATAAGTTTATATAGAAAAAATCTAACAGAATATTTAAACATTCAAATGTACTAGTATTTACTAATTGTTATTAATATGGAAAAAAATTAATTATACAATTTAATTTAAGGATAAGGTATCAATGAACTAATTTTATTGACATACACACTCATTGACAAAAAAGTTACACGCCAAGAAAGAGTCATTGAAATCAAAAGAAAGCTTATTAGGGCAAATGCAACAACATAATTTAAATGAACCTTTAGTATATTGTAGGACCATTTTTTGCCTGAATGCAGTGATATGGTCAGGCATATAGGCATTGTATGCTATCCTCTAATACAGTGATTCCCAAACTTTTTTGATCCACCACACCCTTTATTTCATAAAATTATATCCAATGTCCCATAACTCATTTTCCTTTGTGAGAGGAAAAGCTTGGAAATCTTAGGAAAATTTTTCTATGAACTTCACACTTTGTGTCCTTACATTGTTCTCAACATTTGGAAACCATTAAATACAATGTTTCTTCTTACCTAACAGAGTAAAAAGAAGGTTGTCAGTGACTCAACCTTTGCCTAATGTCACTGTTCAATACCCTGCCTCCAGTGCCCCTGCTTTGGGAATCTCTGATCTAATAGATTTGGCTACAGATATTGTAACTAATGTTCCAGATCCCTTATACTTGTAGATGACCAAAGCTGTCATTCCAACTTGTCCTACAAATGCTCAATGAGCAACAAATTTGGACACTGGGCAGGCCAAAGAAGTATGATAACATAATGAAGACCTTCCTGAGAAACCCTAGCCATGTGTGCAGCTGAGCATTATCTTGCTGGAAAATGGCTATTTGCAGCCATGTGAAAATGCAGAAGTTCCTGAAAGTACTGGTATATTGTCAGTGTCTTTTGCACCACTAATAGGATGATCAACTATCATATGAAATGATTCTCCAGACCAGCACACTAGCAGTATATCATTCAACAGTAAAGGTGGGATTAAAGTACTCGCCAGTGGTCATCTATTCCCAAACAGAACTGAGAGTCATTGCTACAGATGATACTCTGCTAGTCCGTAGCAGTCTGCTTATCTGTCACAACACCACTGCAAACATTGCTGATGATGATGTACTAAAGGCTATATATATATAGCAGGTTGTTTTGTATGCAAATTTGCCTCTGCTAGTTGCCTGCCAATGATATGGAAAGTGTATTTTGTAGTAATTTTGCAACAGGATTTTGTAGCAATGCTTTCACTTGTCTCTGGATAGTGAACAAAATGCCATTGCAACTGTTCATGCTTGTCTCATCTCTCTTGGTAGTTTGTCTGGGTTGTCCAGAGCATGTTTCCCATGTGTGTGTCCCCTGACAAATCCACTGCTGATAACATCTGTCAGGTTGGAACAGTCCAGATAGCACAGTTTCAAAGCCAAGAATAAATTATTCGGGGCTACAAAGCAAGCTGAAAATTTCTGACTGACATTATCTTTTCCAGCCATCACTAGTCAAAGCTATAATCCAAGTGTATAAAGTGTAACAGTAGAGCTTAAGTTTGTGATGAAAGTGAAAGCATATATTATATATACTGCATTTGGCAATGCAAAATAAGCTGACTGAGCTTAGCCACCTCATAGTTATGACCCTGAGATAATATACAATTCAGTGGAACAGTCATCCTGCTTCTCTCAGCTGAATGTATGGCCTTTCTCAAACTCTGTCAGATGTGTGTAATGTGATTGACTGTTGTACAGGCATGTCTGGTGTTTGAAGACTCCAAACAATAGGTACACTGAAAATTCTGAACATAGACTCTGTGATCCTTTCTATAGGATAGTGGAGTAGAGATTTTAATGCCTTCTGGAGATGTTACCTGGTGTGCAATTGGAACATACCCATAGTCATATATGTACCTGAGACATAACTGTATGTCAAGTTTTGCTTAACTTTTTTTGTCAGTAAGTGCATATGGCAACTACTAGTCAATAAAAAGAATGTAATTCAAAATGTAGGTGATGATTTAGAGCAGGGCTTCTTAAATTATGGGTCGTGACCCCATTTGGGGTCGCGAGATTTTAATGCAAAATATTGAAAATAATTTGTGAGAGTTTGAAAATGGCACGCTTTGTGTCATAGGTTTCATGAGTTGCGCATTGTGTCACTTCTGGTGCAGCGAGACAACAATTTAACAACACTGATTGTAGTGTGAACTAGTGTAGTGTTGTCACTTTTCAGTGTATTCAGTTGTTTCATTTTCATTGTAACACAAGAGTGAACTGTGGTAGTACACCATTATTGTTTTTGCAAATTTGTATATATCTTTATTTTATATTTTTTTGGGTCGTGAAAAAATTGCAATCATAAATGGGATCATGAATAAAAAAGTTTAAGAAGCCCTGATTTAGAGGACAACTTCTAAAGTTATGTGCTTATAAAATTCTCTAGAGGCTTATGACTTTATCATTGTAAGAGAAATTAGTCATGCATTAAAAATCTGCTGATTTGAACATATAAATAATTTTCATTTAAATAAAGAGCAGAGCAAAGTTGACAGATTTTGGCCTTGGAACAAATTTCATTGAACTTGGATGCAGCAGAAATACTAACATTGGTAAAAAATGAAATTTTTTTTCCACTCATGTTAGTTTGTTGATAATTTGAAATTAGCATGTATAATTAAAATTTTTTCTTGTTATTTTATCTTAGTAATTATAAAATGTATGTTTGAATTTTCAAACAAATTTATTTGAAATGTAAATTTTTCCTTTTCTCTTTCTTGAATATTCAAATACTTTTCAATTCCAGTTTGGTGAATTTGTTTTTGTTCAAACTCATTCATATCTAAGAAATAATTAAAAAGTAAAATTACTTGTTTTTTTTCATGTTGCATTTCTTATTCAATTTCCAACACGATACAAAAATGGAATACATACTAATCTTTGTGTATTCCATTTTCTTATCATCAGATAAATTTCTCACTATAGGAGGAATTAAATATTCTAACTTAGATGTTTTATGAACTTAGATTCAAAATTTCTTATGTATCAAGTGATTGCTTTATTCACTGAAACTTAATAGTTCAACATCAAAATAAGCAAAAGATTTTTAAAAGTCTAACATTTTTTGATGTTTGGGTTTCCTGAAGATGGTCTATAAATAGCCAAAAGTGTTAAACTTTAGAAATCTTTCACTTATTCTGTCCTTTATTCAAATCTAGTTCTTTGTCTGTCTTCCTTCCCAATTTGTATTCTTGAGAAAAACATCACTGAGGTAACTGGTACAATTTACTTTTATGTTGTGGGTTCAATATCCATTCTTTTCATCTGATATGTAACTAATATATGTTACACTGATGATTTTAATTAAACCATTAATAAATACATAATCCAATTGAAAGGAGATGCCTCAGTTATGTTATACCTTTTTGTATTATTTATAAAAATATAGCTGCAAACATTTTCTTTCACTGTTAAGAATTTGAGCATTATTTTCTTGAACGTTAAAAGATATGTTTGAAACTATATTTTTATTGGTTTCATTGATATTAAGTGGGCTTTTTAACTAGATGAATATTATTTTTTTCTTATACTTAAAATGTAACATAATCACCAAAAAAATAAATATATTTTAGAAGAAAAATGTAGAAAACACATTGTCCCAATGATAGTTTCAACTTTTTTTAATCATCTTGTTCTTGTTATGCATTGGATGAAATTACTATATTGTATCATCTTTATCCTCTTTGATTATCATCCAATAGTGTGCCAACAGAAATTTCCTAGTTATTTTCATACAAACTTTTGATATTATAAATTTGAATTAGATCTATTGAAATGAAGATCGGTTTTAATAAAACATAATTTAAGTTTTATGTAAATAAAGTAAAATAATCAACAAATTTTGTTATGAAGTATTTAAAATTTCTAAATTGTCAAGTTTCATTTTGACTAACTGAAATAAGGATGTATGTGTTAGATTAGTCAAGAGCAACCTGTAACCCTTGGGACTTTGGCAATGTAATTTTATCTTCCTTTCTGTTTTATGCCATTGTGAGAACTGAGGGGGCAGAGGGACCACGCTTACTGGCAACTGTCAGAGAATGTCTTTAGGAGGGCTAAAATGTGAGTGGGGAGGTCAGTGAGTACGTTGACAGGTTCTGAATAAGTTCACAAGTTGATCAAAAATAACACATTTAATAAACAACTATAAAATTATACATATCGAAGGCCAAAGCAACAATCGAAATAATCAAATTCTATTCTAGCTCATGACAATGAATTGTCTTCCCAAGGGACTGTCTACGTTCTATTCTTGAAGCTAAGCTAAGAGACGAGAGAAACCTCTCTAAGAGGGACATCTCAGAGAGAGAGAGAGAGAATGTGTGTGTGTGTGTCAAGATTTCTTAAAAATACCTCTAAGTCTGGTATACGACGTCATCGGGACTCTTGTGGATCTGGGAAGTGGTCATCTGGTTATCTTGGGATAGAGACAGCAGGGGCCATATTCTGGTCGCTATCTCTGGTCTCTCATTTCTTGCAAGC